TATATATATATATATATATATATATATGTATGTATGTATGTATGTATGTATGTATGTATGTATGTATGTATGTATATATGTATATATATTACATTTTAATGAAGTTCCGTCTTCCCTTACAAGCATTTCCACTTTCATTTGTATAAACTGTGGTTCTCAATGAATTGTTTTGTCCTTCTGTCCTAGTTAGTGATCCCTGTTTCTTCAATCCATGTGGAAATAGAGGCTACTGTATACCAACTAATGAATCTCACCTCTGCACCTGCAAAGTGGGCTATACTGGCAGGAATTGTGAGAAAGGTAATCAAACCAAAAAGCTGAATCCATATTAGTCATGCTGGTCCTAGAAAATACTAATTGTATGGATTGAATACATTTTCCTCCTCATTTTTTTCTTCATTTGGGATGAACAAAATCTCCTTCCTAATTTCATTTTAACAATTTCAATTGCTGGATGGAGTGTCATTAGGGAAGTGTCACTGGTTTTAAAATAGCTACTGTAATTGCAAAAACATCTTCTCCTGGTGTTTTTGTTGATTCTTCTGAGGTAGCTGAATGCCACTATTTGACTTTTGTTTTCCAGTTTTCCTCCCAGACATATTGTAATGTTGCCAAAGGAACTATGGGAAGGAAAATCTTTTCATTGGGACTGCACAGTGCTGTTCTGGGAAGGGAGGTGTTAAAAAAGAACACAACAGCACAAAAACCCATATCTTTGTATATACATGTGGTGCTGATGGCCATACATATTGATTGGAACTTTGATTGCATTGCTGCAACTGTTGTGACTATTTACAGAGAGGGAGGGAGGGGAAGAGAGAGAGAGGGAGAGGGAGGGAGAGAGGGAGAGAGAAAAAGAGAAGAGGCTCCTAAGAGGGCAGTAATTTGTCATAAAATGGCTGTTGGGTGCCTCCAATATCGCTACGTATTCTGGAAGTTGTCTTGACAGAAATTAGGCAGTGGAAAGCCAAATTAACTCATTTAAATGAGTTCTGTTTTCTTCCTTCTTTTTGTTGGCACTAACATCATGAAGAGCTGCTGCCACCAATGTCATTAAAGGTGGAAAAAGTGGAGGAGAATGGGTTGTCAATCTCTTGGCGCCCGCCCAAGGACCAGGCTGCCAAACATATGATTGATGGCTACGCCGTGACGTACGTATCCTTCGACGGCTCTTACCGCTGGACTGATTATGTGGACCGAAGTCGTGCTGCCCACCATTTGCGGGCACTAGCCTCCGGCAAAGCCTACAATATTTCTGTCTTTTCAGTCAAACGCAAATCGAATAACAAGAATGATATCAGCAGGCCCATCATGCTCGTCACTCGTACTAGTGAGTAGCTCCTTTAGAGGAATAGAGTTGTGGATACAGAAATGCCCGGCTGCAGTAGCTAGAATGCCATGCAAGCAGAGCTCAAGGATCCTCAAGGCGTTTTGCAAGATCCTTAACATATGTAACAACCTCCCAGAACCTGGCTATTCTCCCTTAAAGTTCCATAATCTACAAATAGCATGAACAAAGGGCACTTGGTTGGGGAAAGCTGTGCAATGAGAATAGTGGGACACCATTCTTTGATTCATAGTAGAAATTTCCTCTTTACCAAGGTAGCATAATTACATTTAGACATGCTGCTTTTCACAAGAATATTGATCTATAACTAGTGGGAAATGAACAAAAGGAAAAATATTGCATTAATCTTGTCTTGTTCTTCAAATATATATTACCTTATAATCACAGTCTATAAAAGTCAAAGTTGCAGCAAATAATTTGCAGTGGCAGTTACAAAATTATAATCAGGTATCACCAATCTTTATACATACATACATACATACATACATACATACATACATACATACATACATACATACCTTCTACATGATGTAATCTTAGGCTGAGTTAGTTCAGATTAATTGCATTTTCAGACAGTGCTTAAAATGTTCCCCACAAAGATCAAATTGGCGGCTTCTTGCTGGCTTCTGATATTTTGATTTCTTTAATTGTAACAAGAAAAAAAATCATTAAAAGAACCTCTGAGTTATCATGTTTGATAATTTATTTAGTGTCCTTTGGATATAGAAAGTAAATTAATTTTGATGATTACTCTTAAAGGTATGGAATGTGTGGACAAATTATATACAAAATTTATATGTGCTTCGCTGTTTCATACTTGTCTTTGACACTAATATTTGGGATCAATTTTTTTCCCCAAAGAAGAGTCCTGAAATAAATAGCACAGAGACTGGGGAAGGGAATTCCGGGTAATATTAAAGAGTAGAATTCCATTGAATTATAGAGAATAAAGTGGTTCAAAGTGTTTTTAATTGGATAGACAAAATTGATATGAGCAAAATGACTTTTAGTCTATTAAATGAGCTGTTAATCTGCAATTCTTCCCTTCTTCTGTACTGGTTTTCAGCAATTCAGTACATCAGAATAAATTAAGTGCAATTGTAAAACAGCATATCCTACTCTAATAAAACAAGAGCACATGTGAAGCAATAGACAAAGAAATATCCTAGGCAATGCTGCTAAACTTGAGATTCTTTTTTTAGTCTAGGAAAACAAGAGGAAAGTATTTCTTCTTCAAGGATATGAACTACAGGTCCTAAAAAGAACTACCTAGAAGGATGACCCTTAATAATAATAATATTTCTTATTATTTTACAATGGTATCATTACTAACGTTAACAATTAAATAATTCTTCTTCTAAGAATTAGATGCTGCCTTCAGTCTTGGGGAGATCTTAATACTGAACACATGTGATACTTAATAAACTCCAGGCATATATTCCTTAAACTGTTTTAAAGAGGTTAAGAGAAGACAAATGTCATTCTGCAGTATTATCTTCTCTAAAAATCTCAAACTGCTCTGTTGGAATTGGATTGAGCTCTAATGACACTTAATGTGGACAAATTTTATTTGCATTGTTCTCCTACTAATTTATTAGCTCTTATTGATCTCACTAACTTGTATCAATGTTTTACTTAAAACATTTTACAGGGAAAGGCTTTTTCAAGTTTTATCTAGGCTGCTTTATAGCCATAATGGTACAGATATTTTTCTTGTCTATTTTATGGCTGTTGCTATTTCAAAATGCAGAATAAGAAACAGCTGTATTAGTAGACGCTATGCCAATGAAATATTTGGGGGACTAAATGTTTATGGGTGATGCAGCTGAAATTAGACTATTTTTCTGTGGGATTATGACTTGTGCTAGAATATGAATACATAAGACGTATAAAAGTGACATGTTGTTAGTACATTTGTTCCAGGGACTTCCCTACTAATTTGAGTTGCATAGCACTAAATTAGCTCCGCAGAAAGTTGATGAATAGATAGTGCTATTGTTCATGGATTTGCATTTACTATGCTGTTATGCTCCTGACTGACTGGTGTGAATATCTGTCCCCATTGGTCCCCTCCAGAAGTTGGAAATTATAATTCTCAGAAAGTCAAGAATACTAGCCCCAATATAAAGTATCAGCTTGGAAGCAGCAGAACTAGAGCTTGCTTTGTAAAAGAATAACTGTCTGTATTCATGAAGTATCTTTATTAATCAAAGTTATGTAGCCACCCATTTCATGAGAAGTAACTCTGGGTACTGTACAATAATTAAACAAAAAACAATATAGGTAGTCCTCGACTTACAACCACAAGTGAGCCCAAACTTTCCATTGCTAAACTTGTTAAATTGAAACTTGTTAAATGGGTTTTGTCCCATTGTATAACCTTTCTTGCCACAGCTGTTAAGTGAATCACTGCAGTTGTTGTTAGTAACCTGGTTGGTAAGTGAATCTGGCTTCTGATTTTTGATCACGTGATCATGGGGATGCTGCCACAGTTGTAAACGTGGGAAACAGTCATAAGTCACTTTTTTCAGTGCTGTTGTAACTTCAGATGGTCACAAAACAAATGGTTGTAACTTGAGAATTATCGGTACATATATAAAAGCATTAAAAAAATATTTAAAAACCAACATTTGGAAATTAGAATTAAAATGTACAAATCCCAGGCAGAGAAGGATATCTTGCTGCTAGTCTCAAATACAAGCCACAAACTGAGACTTTCCTGGATATTGGTGTAAATTGTGGCTTCATCCTTTCTATTGGGTGGGTTTGCTGCCGACATTACTGCTGGTTCAGTGCGTGTGCAATTTTGTGCCCGCACTTTCACGCACGCCAGATGCTCGCTCTGTGCGCGTGCATATTTACCCATAAATGCAATTACAATTGTTCTGCGCATGCACAGAACTGAAAAACAAGATGGCAGCATCAGCCGCGCCATTTGGGGAACCGGTTCAGGGGCATGGCAGGCCTGGGTCGTTGTCGGTGCCAGCGACCCAGGCCGCCAAACCACTATCAGTTGAACCGGTACGAACTGGTAGAAACTCACCATTGTTTTCTATGACATTCACTTTACTTTTTTATGGAGCGCCTCAGGGCTTTGCACTTTCTCCACTCTTTTT